ATAAATTATTTATATATATATATATATATATATATATATATATATATATATATATATATATATACTTACTATAAGTATTTTGCAATTAAATTATCACATTGTCGTCATAAGTAACTGACAAATTTTATTACAGAAACACTGGTATAGATTATACGCAAGCCAAACAACGAGAAAATTACGCCAAACAGTGTTTTGGTGAAGATCCTCCAACCTTGGAATCACTGGTTATACATGGACCACAGGAATCTATACATCATCGTGATTTAGCCTCAGTATTACCTTCTGATACCATACGGATGAAGTAAGGATAATATCTTATGAATATATTTACAATTAAGAGATAAAGATATAATTATAAGAGATTTGTTGTAATGTTTTTTTAGAAAGAAATTTATAAGATTTATATTTTCTTAGATTCAATACAAATTTGTAATTTTTTATGTGAAATTTATAAAACTGACTGCATAATTTATAAGATTCTTTCTATACATTACCATTAATTTTTACTTCTGTTTGTTTCAGCTGGGAATTTCGTAGTCACAACGTAGCCAGGTTCTTGTCCAGTTTAATCGTAAAACATGTATTTGTATTACCTTTACCCGACTATGTAGCTAATCTCATAACGTTAGGCAAAAACGAATTGACACTTCGGACCGACTGATACGCTTTGCAGCAACTGTTTACATTTTTACGAAAAAATTATTATTTAGTGGTTCACATATGATACTTCCTATTATTTATACTAAAATGAATTGTAATTAGTGTGGCTATGACAATTGCGGCGGCGGAGAGGGGAAGGGGGGGTAAATGACTGTAAAATATTAATTTTATAAATAATAATAGATCCGCATGTGAGCATCTCACGAAATCGCAAAATATTCTTTGTATTGTAATAATTAATTTTGTACGAAGACTAGGTATTAGGACTACATAAATTGTATCTGCAGAGTGTGACCAGTAATTTAAACCTGTGTAAAATATGATGCTGCAATATAATGGAGCAGTAATAAAAATTAATGTTACTGAGTAACAAAGATGAGAGAATCAAAATGTTGTGTTAACTTTTTATTATATATATTTCACATTATTACATAGAAATACTATTAAAGCTTCTATCACATTAATAAAAGTACATTTCTCAAAATTTTATTCAAGTTTATATTGAATAATATACTAGGTTTTTATCAGTATTTCTCTACACGCTACGCACGTCGTTGATCTTTACAATGACCGCTCGGTGTGCATAATACTCAAGTGAATCGTAACAAAAGGAGGATTTTGTTAGATAATCGTTATATTCTTCATAGTGGATTAGATTCTTCATAGTGGATTATTCAATATATCCAACGTTGTCTTGCATATTATGGATTATTATATTAACATTCTCTCGTATGCCTTCAACTGGATGCGTCTTCCGCCTCTTCTTCGTCGGATGTCATGTCGGGATCATTGGTTTGCGATTGGCATTTGTCGCAACGACAAACGAACAGATACAAGGAGCTCAACGCCTTCTGCCTAGAATATCTACTTCTCTCGAGCTCGCATTCCTCGAGGTAACTCGTACAGATTTCTTCCTCGGGTTGTATATCCCGTATCGCTTTCAACACTAATGTGTTATTCGAATAAGGAAATTCCACGATTGCATTTGGTACACAACTGTGATTTACTGCTGATTGTAGAATGTAGAGACCGGATCCTTCATTATTTAAAAATGAGCCTACCACTGTGATAAAAAAACAAACTTTTAACTTTTACTAAGATATTAACATTCACAGAATAGCTACGATGAGAACGATGTAAATTACCTTCTTCCATATCATCGTAAATTCGGTCTATCAATTTGTCGATGTAAATTCTTTGATCTTTATGCAGATCTAAAGCAGACACATTTTTTACCCAACGACTGAAAGCGCTCGTACCAATTCCTTGTGCGTTCGTTCCTACTAAGGCTAGTAAACTTCTAAATCCGTCTGGTGTAAACCACTAAAAACCATAATTTTTTCATCAATATCAGTATATA